CTACCGAGGTGAGACCGTCGACAGAACACACGCTGCTGACGGACACAGAAGATCAGAAGCTGCCGGACACGCAGAAGACAGAGCGTATATACTAGCAGAAATAGTGACAGTCGACTATTAACTGCTATCCTGTTCTGCCTTCTCTTCCTCACACGCAACTGGGGGATATAACCACTGTTGGCACAGGAACACACAAGGTTATAACAATTCCGATATTTTATGAGCACCTACATCGATCGACCGTGATTTGTTCCTGGTTGGAAGAACAAGGCGGATAAAGTGAGAGACTCAGGAAAAATAGTCATTACTTAACCTCCGTGAATGGAGCCATTTTTTCCGCTGAAAGTTGATTATGTTTATTCGTAGATAAAGCAAGATTCCCTCCTTCTTCTTCTTATTCTTCTTCTTGGTTCCAAAGTAACTTAGGTCAAGGGTAACAAACTGGTTTACTCGAAGCAACAGTTAGTAAAACGCGTTGAAATGACCGGTCCATCCAGAAAGGGCTTTGCGCGCTTCATATGAATAGGCTGGTTATGAAAAATATGGTCGAGTTTATCTTTTACAGTAGACAGACATGAAAATAACTTGCCTCGTGGCCTAACGCAAAGGTTCCCCAGTGAATGGCAATTGAGTACTTAGCTTTGACGTCTTGATGAACTTTGACGGCCTCGACTGGATCTATATGCTGATACTGCAAGGCGTACCTGTGGTTAGGAATGAGAAATGCTTGGGAGTCAAGAGGGCAGGGAATACAGTATTGTCATCTTAAGAAGCAATCGTCTTTATTGCTTGATTTTATGAAGAAGCGTCATGCACACCCATAGTCAATCTTAACGAAGATGCGTGTAAACCTTATTAAAAATGACTACTTAAGTAGTATGCATTTTTTACACTGATTTTCAGTACCCCTAAAAAGTCAAATATATGCCATAGAAAACAGGCACAAAAATACTCTTTATTGTATGTGTTGGGTAGAGAATTACGTGTTCCTCAAACTGCATACCTGACGAAAGGTTATCTGTCGGTTTTAAAAAAATCCTAAATTGCTCAATAATTTTGAACCCCACCGGTCGTTCCAATTGACTTCAAGCTTTTCAACGTAACGACTGTGCTTATTCTGCTTAAGAATAATTACACATTTCTCCATAGTAGGAGGAAGAGACCACATAGTTTTCAGAAAATTTTGCAATCGCCACTGTATCGACTCAATTTCGCATTTGGTTACATGATCTGCGCTTTCAAAAAGGGTTATTTAGATTAACCTTTTTCGAAAATCTGCAGAGAACGCGACTTAACAGTCATTAGACGGGAGTTCGGATGCTCATACTCATGCGGAAGCATCACGCGTTGTAGGAAAAACGTAACTCTGAGGGAGGCAACCTAAAAGCAAGTACCGATCTCGTGAAACATGTCCTCGATTAGAAAGGATTAGTTAAGTAGAACTGTAATATTGCTTATCGTACAGCATAATCTCAAGATACTTCAGAAACCCAGGACGTCGCCTTTGAATGAGTGGCAGACCGCTTCCGTGGTTGAAAAACTGACCATCTACTCGGGTTATAACATATTTTTTAGTTTATAAGGGCATCGAAAATCGAGGGGGGGGAATTCACATTACTTAAATATCCATTTTTCGGAGTACGATCTTTTCGGGCGACAGAAAAAAATTGCATTTAGGCATGACTGAAACACCTTGGAGGTATGCTGAACAATGATAAATATTACATCCCCACCTAAGTAGTAATTTCTAATTGAAAACACGCTTCAGAATAGCGGTAAAGATTTGATGAGACTTGTCAGTGATTGTAATTATTACTGTTAAAATCAATAAAGGATCGAGTATAGCACGCAGATAAATGAACATTTTGGGTAGACGTGGAAGGTGTTTCACATTATTAAACAACCTGTTCTAAAGACAAAAAATAATGTGTACGGTAGACCAAAAACTTGACCTACCTTGGTTTGTAAGCACCGATTGGAATAGCTGCCACATCAAATGGTCCATATTTGGCGCCAATCTCCTTGAAAGCGGCACAATAGCCAGTGTCCCCAGCAAACCAGGCTCGGTGATGTGGTCCAATTATCGCCCAACTGCCCCACAGACTCTAAGCGCTCAGGACAGAAAGGATAAAATACTGCGTAAGGACCAACCAAGCGTAGCCAGTGGATTTTCACTTGCCACTGTGGGCAGAGATTAGACGGGAATGTAGAGCAATATCGTGCCGCGATCGCTCAGCCCAGTTTCTAGAGAAGAAGAGAATCAGCCTGCCGTGTGCGGAGCTAGTCACGCTAGCCACTGACGTGTTTCCTTAATCTGAAGGCTGCTCTAGCAGTGACCCGACAAAATCTACAAGGGTCGAAGTTGCTACGCCATCTGGCATACACACACGTAATCCGTTCTACGCGATACATTGACAGTCGTAGGTGACGAGATACACCTCTGCTTCGCAAGGTGGGTCCAAAAATGACTAGCGCGCATGAATTCGCTGATAGAGAAACAGGCGTGTATTGCATCTACCACTCTCTCTCTCCCTCGAAAGTGAGAATGGGGGGCCTTCTCTTCTGGTCCGACGAGACAGGGCGACTGGAAATACGGCCGGGCGCAGAGGCTAATGTGATGTGAAGCCCCCCCCCTATCGGGTG